ATTTATTTAATTTATTAGGAGTTATTTTAGTTTTTATTTTATTTTTTATGTTTGGTAATGTCCTAGCTATATAAAATAAGATTAAAATTCATTTTCTAAAACATTGCACACAAAAATGCATTAAAAATAATATCAAAATTATAGTAATGAATTTTATTATAATAAAAAGTGAAAACTCTATTGAAGTGTGCTTTGCATGTATGAATCCTTTGATTAATAGTGAAATTTGAATTTTGTTTTAGATGAGAAGATATTCAAACAAAATTAAAAGTTTTTACCATGTGATATCTTAACTTGATTTGGCATGGTGAAGAGCTTGACTCGATAAAGATAAAAATTATTCATACAAGCTCGAAAGCTTTAACCGTGTTAGATTTTAGCTTAATTTGTTTGATGAAGGATTTGGTTTAACTTGATGAAGATTATTCACACGAGTCCAAAAACTTTAATCATGCGAGATCAACTCGTTTTGATTTAATGAAGGAAATGATTTTTACTGTTTGCTTTCTAAACAACGCCAAGTGATAAGTTCTAAAATCCAAGATGTTTAGAAATAAAACTAATGTATTGGATAATTGATTAATCTATTAATTCAAATAATTTGATCCATTCTTTATAGTTAAGGTATCTAGTGACTTGATATGAAAAGTTTAGAGGATTGGTAACTGATAGTAAGTGATATCTAGTAAGTTGGGTGACTAGCAGTCAATATTTATAAAACATTTTATTTGATGAATGTGGAGACTCTCTTATAGTAAAGTCAATAATTTTATAAGAAGAGAAAATATAATAATATTTTAGAGAGAGGTACTCTAAAAATATATATGAACCTTTGACTTTAATGATTTATAATGTATTTATGACCGATAAATCTTGTTTTTTTATAAGGAGAAAGAGTTGAAATATAATTTTACTATTGTAATATTTTGAGTAGTATTCTATTCATAATAATACATATTGCATCAATACAAAACTTGTATAGGGTTCAAGAAAGTTTCTCTAGCCAACGTTAAGTTTGAAAAATCCATACATGCTGAGCTAGAATATATATAGGGTTCAAGAAAATTTCTCTAGCCAATGTTAAGTTTGAAAAACCCATACATGCTGAGCTAGAATATATCAGCTCAATCCCACGAGAATGCTAAGGTGCATACCCAACATCCTTTGTGTTGGGCAGCATGTCCAATCCCAGCTCAGCATCCATCCACCAAGATGCACTAAGAAGACACCCAGTGCATTGTATAGTGTCTATGAATTGGGTGTCTATGCATCCATGCAGGGAGCGCAGGCTCTTTACCTGCGTCTATTTTCTTTGAGTATTTTTTTTATTTTTTTTATTAATTCATTTTAAGCTTATTTTAAAAATATTTTTTGATTTATTTTATTTGAATCCATCACTCAAAATTATCATAAGATTATAAAACGAATTCATATCAGCATCACGCTAAAAGAATTATTATATGATGTTGATACAAGGGTTACGGTGGTAGATTAGGTCATAATGATGAGTTTTTTATTTTGTATTGGATCGGTAGAATTAGTTTTTACTGGGCCTAAAAATTATAATTTCTTGAATTGCGAACTGTAAGAAAGTTCCATATTCTACTCCATTAATTCATATGGACGTGGGACCTCTCATAAACCTTAATGTTTATTATTATTATTATTATTATTAAATTTGAGACCAGCCTCGTTGAATTTGAATCTTTTCCCAAATAATAAATGAAAAAGTCAAAGATGAAGCAACTTTTCATGACCGTTCACGAATACTTGGAGAAAAGTTCCTCGTAAGCCAAAAGTTTTTATAAAATCAAAATTGGTCAGTTGATTTTTGTTTTAAAAGTTTTTTTAAAAAAATTTAAAATTTAAAATTTTTATTTATTTTAAATTAATATATTTTTATTATTTTTAAATTAATTTAATGTAATGATGTTAAAAATAATTTTTTAAAAATAAAAAAATTATTAGTATATATTTTAATATGAAAAATTATTTTAAAAATATTTAAAACTATATTTTCAAATAAGTTCTTACGTGAAACATCATTTTGGAAACTACTAGTAGGATACATTGATAAAATAACAAATGTGAAATATGAAATTTTTATGAGTATGAAATTGATGAATTCCATGAACTTTCACAAAGAAGGGGCAATGCATAAAAAAAACACTGAGTGACGTAGTTTAGAAGCAATTATTTAAGAAAATAACTTTTAATAATCGGTGATATATTACTCGGTAAAAAAAAAAAGTGTTTAGTGAGCCATACTCTAAGTCAAGAGTATTAATTTCATGTATCCTACCATGATAAGAATATCATGCTAATATTTAGTGCCATCACAAAGATTCATTAATAATACTTTTAAATGTAATATAATAAAGATTATGTTTTTAACTATTTTTTACTTGAAAATTATTAAAATAATATTTTATTATTTTTTTAAAATTTATTTGTGATGTGGCATATTAAAATAATTTAAAAATATAAAAAATTAATTTAAAATAATAATTTTTTAAAAAACACAGTTCACCGTATGTTCAAAGATTACGTGGATAAGATATGAGTTCGCGCATGCCTGTCCGGGCATCTGCCTCCGAGTAAGCATGTCATCAGGCTCGGGCACGACCCCTCGACATTCTGAGCCTAGATGAAGATGTGTGTATAATGTGCCCATCGCATCAACTAAGCTTCTTGAAGATCGTGGTGGTCGAGTGAGTCAGCTAGGCTTATTCAAAACTGTGTTAAACCTCCTCGGTCCAGTTTAATAGTGGGCAATGGAGAGTGCCTGATCTAAAGGAAAGATATTCCTGTTCGGGTCCGGAAGCGATGGAGAGAATTTGTGGCCCATCGTGCCTTATGCCATGGCGAGGTGGGGAGGGGCGTGCTTCCTTCAATCTGGGTCCATTACTAATGTATTTTAGTGATTGTCTGGGTGCGTAGTTATAATTATTTATTAAAGTATTTTTTATTTAAAAATTTATTAAAATAACATGTTATTTTATTCTTTAAAAAATATTTTTGATATCAATGTATCAAAATAATCTAAAAATATTAATTTAAAAAAATAAAAAAAATATTAATTAAAAAAAAAAACACTTTTAAAACATTAAAAAAAACCTAAAATACAAGGGTGCTAATCCTAGATGTAACATGTATTTTTTTTTCAGCTAAATGATTGAAAAAAATTTAGAAAGAAATATTCACGGGATATATTGGTGTGTGCTTGCCTTGTACCATTATCGCGTTTATTTTTACATTGAATTAATATTTTTTTAAATTTAATTTTTTCAAATTAATTATTTCTTAGTGTTTTTAATTATTTCTTAGTATTTTTAAATATTTTTATGTGCTAAATTTAAAAATAAATTTTAAAAAATAAAAAATAAATTTATTTAAATATATTTTAAAATAAAAATATTTTTTTAAAAAAACCATTATCACACTATCAAATAATCATCCCCGTGTATGTCTGGATTATTGACTGCCCAACATGTTTCAAATTTGAATTTGAAAATATCATAAACGAGAAACTTCATCGTTGGTTCAGTTCTTGCATGCTATATACTAAACGCACCGTCTTTGTCCTACCATAAATCCCGGAAAGCCTGAAGCTCCATTTACTCTTGTGCACGTGGCTCGCTGATTCCAGGAACCACAATATAAAAATTGTTTTCTCAAGAAAGAAACAAAGGTAAAGAAGTCAGATGCCGTGCAATTCAAATAATCCCTGGAACAGCGTAATTCATGCTTCTTTTTATTGTATTTTGTTAAGAGAAACATTTTTATCATCAATTTTTCTTGATTTCAAGTCCTTACCACTTGACCATCCATTTACTCTTGTGTACGTGGCTCGCTCATTCCAGGAACCACAATATAAAAATTTTTTTCTCAAGAAAGAAAAAAAGGTAAAGAAGTCAGATGCCATGCAATTCAGCAACCAAGGACTCGAACCTGAAACCACATAGGGAACAAACCTTTTGATCTCAAGTCCTTACCATTTGGCCACTACTATTTACTTTATATGTGTGTGTGAGAGAGAGTGAGAGTGAGAGAGAGAGAGAGAGAATTCAGTTAAAAATGGATTTTAAACTATAAGGATTAAATAATAGGTGACGAAAACAATGAAGACTGATCAATTAGTTTTGATAAACTACAGTAATTAAGTTATAATTAACCATTGATAATTAATAGCCCAGCCAAATAAATGACAATATGCTGTTTTTTTTTAAATAATTCGTATTCTTCAAATCTAAAGCACAAAGGCAACGAGATCAGCAGGCACAAAAAGTCATAACGTACCCCAACATGTAACTTGTTCATATCAAAAAACGACCTAGAGAAATGGAAAAGCTCAACAAGTTAATTAATTAGACAGCTGGGACTTGGGGGTATTAATTAGGGTAGATAACCAAATCAGCCAGTGATAAACAAAACCTAAAAAATAAAAATAAAAACCTAAAAGGCGTCAGAATTACAAGTTCAAGGCAATAAACTTCAGTGTGTTTGGAGTCGTGTTTCCAATTTTTTTTTTATATTTTTAGAATTTTTAATATATTAATATTAAAAATAATTTTTAAAAAATATAAAAAAATAATTTTAATATAATTTTAAACAAAAAACACTATAAATCATAACCACTATTAAATTCTTAAACAAACATTTATGTTTTCAACTGTATTTAGCATTATGTTTAGGAAGCACTTTCAAAAAAAATTGAATTTTTTTATTTTTTTGTATTAAATTAATATATTTTTAATATTTTCAATTTATTTTAATATTCTAATATTAAAAATAATTTTTTAAAATAAAAAATAGTATTTTAATATATTTTTAAAAACAATCACTATACCAATTATACACCAATACCACGTATTTATATCAAAATCAACCGCATGATTATATCCAGGGTCGCACATCAACACCACATGCAGCACAATTACCACTAAAAAATTAAATAAAGTAACTTACTGATCATGACATAATTAAATCTGATGAATGCATTAGATTTCGTCACTGATCACGGTCTTGTTTTGCATCATGGAGTTCTTGCAATGAGCAACTGCACCTTGAACAGCGCTCTGCAATTCCTCCACCGATAATGTGTCTCCATAGTACATGCCACCACCTGCAGCAATCCTAAATATTGCTGTACCAGCTGAACCCACAACATTTTACAAAGCACGCCTGAGTGACTAGGAGCTGACTGCATTGGAGATGGACAGCTGGAAGCGCAACTTCTCCTTCTTGGTCTCAAATTTCCCGAGAAAGAATGAGAAAACACTCCAGTACTACTACCCTTTCTGCCATCCTTGCTAGAGACATCATCAATATCTTTCATAGATCTCTCTGATTTAAGAGACAGACTGACAGCATTGTTTGCTGTTGAAGTTGGCGGTATTGAATGCACATGACCTCCCATTTTTTGCTGTTGTTTTTGGGATAGTTTCTCATGCAATGGCTTCACTTTCTTGAAATACTTCCTTGGAACTTCTTTTGCCGTGACGCTTGTTCGTTTCATCGAAGAACCCGTTACGTTGTCATTTTCACGGTTGTTCTCTTTCTTGAAAATAGAAGAGAATCTTGATAAAGAGAAGTACTTATTGCTACCCTTCTTATTGATATGTGAACTCAAAGTGTTGATTTCCCAAGGTCTAGGCCCCCCCCCCCCAAAAAAAAAAAAAAAACCTTGCTTGCACCCACCTGAAGTTTTGGACTAAGAAAGGATAAAGAGAACAAATATTTATTTTAACATGACTGAAGCTCTAATCATGGTCAAAATCAAATGTTAAACAGTCATGTATGATTTTGAACTTATGTAAAGAATTAACTTGATTCCAGATAACAATAGCTTTATTGCTTGGTTAGCCATCTTGAATAGGCTAGCCAGACAAGTCAAGAGAGGGAGGCTTGTTGACCCTGATTGTGTTTTCTGCGAAGGAGCAATCGAAGACAGGGTTCTCTTATTTTTCTATTGTCCAGAAGTGAAGAGCATATGGAATTCCACTGTGCAGATTTGCAGCATTCCAGGGCCAGTAGGTTATCGGAGATATGAATTTGATTCTGCTAAGACTTGTTTGCAGAAGAAGAGTTTCTAAGCCAAGCCATTGTGAAAAGGTTTGCTTGGTGCAGCTATATTTACTCTGTATGGCAGGATAGAAATAGAAGAATTCATGGAGTTGCTTAGTACTTTTACAGTGATGAAGCAAATCATTCAGTCTGTCCAGTTCAGGAAATATAATTCTAACATTTTGAAAGAAGCTACTGCAAATCCAAATATTGCTGAATTCTGCAATAGGTAGAACTTTTACTTTATGTTGCTTTTGATCGTTTGTTTCCGGGATCGTTCCTGTTTGTTAGGATTTTGCAGTGAGTTGAGCTCTCAACCTTTTGTTTTTTTGACAATGAAAACTTTCATTCATCAAAAAAGATATAGAATGCTTTCGCCAAGTGATTGTTTTGTTTCCTTCATTTGTTCAATTTCAATGTTTGTTTCACGCAGCCGAATAAATCTAAATTTTTGAAAGAAGAAATCCAATAAAAACTTTAATTTATTAATTTATTATTGTTTTTTTTAATATTATCGAATAATTCTTTAAAAACTTTAATTTATTAATTTATTATTGATTTTTTTAATATTATCTCTGTTATTATTTTATTCTCAAAACCAACCTAATTAATTCCAAAAACTGAACCACCTTCGAATAATCCACAATTTTACTAAGCTAACTTGAAAGACATCACTTGCCAACTTTGTAATGGTTACATTTACTATTAGTATTTTTCTTTTTTAAAAAAAAACTAGGAGTATAATGTTATTTTACTACGTGTTTTTTTCTATATATATTAATAATCACATAAGTTATGAAACACTATGTATTTTTTAATTATTTTATCATTAATGACATTTTCAATTGTAATTTTAATCAAATATTTCTCCATTATTTTTTATTCAATAATAATTTCGTAACTAAATATATATTTTAATCTTATTAACAGCAATTATAATTTTTTTTATTTTTTTTTCAAACCGTAACCATAAAAAACTACAACAATATTAACAATATTAAATATATATTTATAGTATACTAGTGAAAGCTTATGCTCTTTACTAATTATTAAAAAAAATTCATTTGGTTAGCCAAATAACTTATATTTTTGCACTGTACCACAAACATAATTACATTTATTCTTGTATAAATTAAAACAATTTATTTTTTATTTATGAAGATTAATTTTTATTTATTTTGCATGTAAAAATTTATTTTATATAGTATTTTAACCAAATATTTATTCTTTAAAATCTATTTTCTTTAAAATCACAACTATAATTTTTTTTTTTAACTATAATCACAAAAGTAATTAATACCTGACACACATTATATGTACAGAATTTCGAGGCACCCAAGGCACCGGAGAGCATAATATTAGCAGTATGTAAGCAAATGGTGCAGTACTGGTTAAGTAAACAGGTTAATAATTTATTTAATAGTGTGGTTGTTGTTGTTTTTTAAAATATTTTTATTTAAAAATATATTAAAATAATATTTTTTTTATTTTTTAAAATTATTTTTGATATTAATACATTAAAATAATCTAAAAATATTAAAAAAATATTAATTTAAAATAAAAAATTCAAACTTTTTCAAAATATACTTTTAAAATATCAAAATAAATAAGGTGTTAGACTACAGGAAAGCTAGCTAATTGTTAGTAGATGTCAACGATAAACTACCATGCCGGCTGGTCCCCGAAGGTCTTTAAGGGCCATTGCAATTAGCCAAGCAAAGTAGAGTGAGAATTATGAATCCATACCTTTCATCAGGCACCTTCTTCTGTGCTATTTTTTTGTTTGTACTTATAATTAACGAGGAAGGATTACATTCATCTTATCGTCCAAAAATGCATGACCATTTATCGAAATCCAACTAGGGAACCAAGAACAGCTAAGCGTAGATCACTAGTACGCCGGCCTTCGATTAAAAATACATGTTCGATTCGGAAATAGACTGCTGTATATACTTGATGTGTGCTGCTTTGCTCCCTTTCTTTAACACAAGCACATGCTAATTTATGGACAAATCTGGGACCATTTTGCATGTTGCAGACTAGATTTTCTTGCACATAATCAAGTTGAGAATATTTTTGTACGTTAAAAGGGATATTTCTATACGTTAGTAATATTCCAGTACGCTGGATTCAAAAGAAAAGAAGAAGAAGACGAAGCACTAGCACGTATACTTGGTGATTTGAACGAAGATAAAACGCCCTTATTATAGCATATAATTCACAGGCTAACCGGAAAGATGAGTCATTGTTTTGTCTGCTCCGGTGGACACATTGCGCCTTCAATGAGCGAGGAGTACATGAAAGATTTGTCTTGGGCTGGATGAAGAATTGAAAAGCTTAAGGTGCGTGGCAAAACAAAATTCTCAAAAACTAAGCTTCACTATTGAAAATATAAGAGTGATAATTTCATATATTTGGAGTTGTGTTTTATTTTTATAAAAATACAATTTATGAATTTTTTTATGATAAATAAAAAAAATAAGAGTAAAAGACGTGAGAATATAGACTCTTTTGGTGCTGCGGGGTGACCACAATTTTCAAAAAAATTAAAAATTTCTTTATTTTTACTTCATATTATTTTTTTTGATATTTTTAAATTATTTTGATATATTAATATAAAAAATACAAAATATATTATTTTAATAAATTTTAAATAAATAATATTTTAAAAAATAACCACTATCACATTACTAAACCTTATACATGCATGCAAAGTTCCTCATATTATTAATAATGAAAGACATATAGTGGCACAATGGAAAAATAACTACGAAATAAAAGGTATTAATGCATTGGACCGATTATTTAGGGAATCTTTTCAATGTATAAATCACTATCCATATCATTTACAAAGACCGAGTAGAATATAGGGATCTACGCAGTCCCTTGTAACATATTAATTAAAAAAATAAAAAAAAGATCTCTCTAAATCTTTAATTTAGATCTAAATTACATGTATAGAAAGTAAGTGAAAAAAATAGAAGTTCATAAGTAGGGCTGGGATTTGAGTTTCGTAAATTGACTCTCGATGACAAAAAATTAAGGAGAAAGTTTAGAGAAAAATCCATCTAAAAAACTATCGGAAGAAACTCTGAATGCAGAATCTAATCTTCTAATAAAAAATAAAAATAATGAATGTGAAGAAAAAAGGGGAAATAAATAAATAAATCAGGGCAGCGAAAAGTGCAAGATTTTCACCGACCACCGTCCACCCACCCCAAACCCAGACCCAAACCCAAACCCAAACCTAAACCAACCCTTACCAAACTGAAAGAAAGAAAAGAAAGAAAGGAATCGAATTTTGCATTAAACCAAACAAAACCCACAAGGGCAAAGCAAAATCTCTAGCAACCTCATGACCCAACCCAACAACCATTGAAATTGTCTCCTCCCTTTGCATCTCTCTATATCTTTCTCATCTCTTGTTCTTTCTTTCTATTTCCGCTCTCTTCTTTTATTCAAACGCTCTCTGTAATCTATTCTCAGCCTCGACGCCTAACAAAAAACTGAAATTCTCCTCTATACTTTGTAATCTTAATCTCAATCACTGATTTTTCAGATCTATATCTCCACTTATCACGGTAATTATATATGATCTCATCCCTTTTGCCACCGCGCCGATGATGTTTTTGACGTTCGATTATTATAGATGGATGTTTTTCTTTTCCGTGTTATTGAAAGTTTTGATGCTGTATTGAAATACCGTGTTATATATATATGGTTGAATTTTATCTTGGATTTGTTAGATCGATGGATTGCCTTTTTTTTTTGTTTTTCATTAAATGGCTATTTGAGAAAAATAATTGGCATCCGCCAAGAAATGTTGCTTGTTGAGTATATGTAACAATATGAATTTTTTCATTAGAAGGTTAATTATGAATTATAGGCCTTTGATTTTGACGAAATGCTTAAACTTTTATCTATATTTAATTTTTGTAAGCCACTTGAACTTTAATTTAAAAGGCCAATGAAAATAAGCACAAAATCTTGATAAAAAATAATAAGACTATTCGTGATCTGACCTCCTATGTGATACTAGTTTCAGCTTCTTAGAACAAATCTATTAATTTGAGGTGCAATCTTATTTATTTTTTTGTTTATTTTTTTTTAATTGGATAATTTGTCAGGAATAATGTCCTTTGCACGGAATTATCGTTCACACGGAGGAACGGGCCATGATGATCGGTGGAACTCTTTGAATGGGTACAATTTCAACCATGGAAATAGGAACATTGATGCGAATAGGAACACCAGCTACAGCTACAATTGGAATCATAGCAATATCCGAGACTACTCCTCGGGGAAATTCAGGGACCATGTTAATGGTTATGCTAACCCTCCCAGTGGTGCACCAGCTTTTAAAAGGAGAAAATTTAGTGCGGATACCTGGGGAGATGGTGGGAGATACTATCCTCAATACAATGCATATGAATATGCCGATCTATCTTACAACAATTCAGTTCCTCTGCCAGCTAGATCCAACGCCGAGGTCTCTACATCTATAAGTTGCAAACGTGATTGTTCAAAACTGGAAGAAGATGAACCAGTATTCTTGTCAAAGGATGAGATTGAAAGACACTCTCCATCTAGAAAAGATGGAATTGATGCACTACGTGAAACGCATCTGCGGTATTCTTATTGTGCTTTCCTTCAGAACCTTGGACTGCGGTTGGAGCTGTAAGTGCTCCACTTATAATGTGTTTCCAGTTAATATTTTTTGTTTGGAAGCTTGCTTATCAGAAGTTGCATGTAATTAACAACCTCTCGCGCTTCTTGCAGGCCGCAAACTACTATTGGCACTGGCATGGTTTTGTGCCACCGTTTTTTTGTTCGACGATCACATGCATGCCATGATAGATATGTGAGTTTTAAATGCTCATGCTTGAGTTTTTTACTACTTGGAGGATACGTTGTGCACAACCATTTTACTTAAATAACCTTTCCTGAATTGTGTTAGCATTCTCCTCCCAAGTGCTATTTCTATAAAGAGAACAATGTTATTAGCTGTTTAGAACTTTGAGCTGATAAAGAACTAAGTAATTGTTAAGCCTAGAGCTGATGGTTTATCTATGGAAGCCTGGTGTACTCTGTTACGCTGAATAGTTTGCCTTGATTTGGAAATTTACTAGTCCTTTTGACTTATGATTCCTCCTGTGATGAAGGTGGAGTTAGAACTCTCAATTCAAAACTATTCTTTTGACGCAAGGGTCATACTTGTGTAGCTGCTTTGTGTACATGATCTGATACTGCAGCATTCTGCATTTGTAACGTAAGAAAAAATCAGGCTGGCAGCCTTTCTTGTCTGTTTGTGTTGCCTATCTTTCAGCTTTTTTAGATTCCGTTGCATCTATTTTTTTTGCTTTTATTTTTCTGATTTCTTGTTGGTTATGGCTTGTTTAATCGTGGTATGATTTCCGATATATGCATAAATGCGTTATGAGGATGCTTGCAATACAATTATGCAATAAATCTAGTGGTCATTCCTCTTTTTGATGGTTATATTTGACATGTGTGTTTTGTGTTTGTTGCAGTTAATTGCTGTTGCTGCACTTTTTCTCGCTGCAAAGTCTGAGGAGACGCCACGCCCTTTGAATAATGTCGTGAGAGCTTCTTGTGAGATTTTCCACAAGCAGGATATTACTTTCTTGTCATACCTGCTCCCTGTTGTAAGTACCTCGCAGCCTGATCTATAATTTCTTACCTGTTGTATATATTAAAGAAAAATTTAATTCGGGTCTGTCTTTAAATACAAAGAGGATAACATAAAAAATCCTCTTTCCCTCTTTGAATTCATGTATGGAGTACCAATCTTCAATTTGTGTTGAATTTCCTGTCTATTGGTTAATTTGGACCGCATTTCCTGCTTTACATGAAATCTTAAAGTGATGCAGAGTTTTTTTACTCCTTTTGAAAAGTTGCAGCCCCAAGTCTGCAGCGAACTAATTTGAAATGAGTTTTGCTAAACAGGACTGGTTTGAACAGTACCGGGATCGAGTTATCGAGGCTGAGCAAATGATTCTGACAACCCTAAATTTTGAAATCAATGTGCAGCATCCATATGGTCCTCTGACAACCATCCTTGACAAATTAGGTCTTTCACAAACTGTTTTGGTGAATCTGGCTCAAAACTTGGTTGGTGAAGGGTAAGTGCACTACTTCTGATATGATATATTTTATTGGATCTTTAGATTTGTACTGGCGTGGTTCATTTATATCAGTGTCAAAATGAACTAGCTCTTACTAAGTACAATAATATAATAATATTAATTCTGATTGTGCTCCCTTCTTCAGGAAGGAATTTGATTTGGACCATCTTGTTGTAAATACATTGTATCTGGATTTTCTCACACTAGTTCAGCTAAAGACATGGTTTAAGATTTGGCAAGTGGTCTTGCAGCTATGATGGCTTTTCTGTGTCCTTAAGCATGGATTGGTTAGTGTCTAAATCCAAACCAATCAGAAGGTTTTTTGGGTATTCGTGATACTTGGGTCATGGAGAGTATGTGCTGGGCTCTTTCTATTTCTCTTTTGGTTCATCATAGCGTGCTACTAGTCTCAATGGTTTTCTTCTTTTAAGAAACCAATCTACATAGTTATTCTGGTATGGGATATTGATTTTTTGGCATGGCATATAATTGCAGGGTCTACACAAGATTAACGTGCTCACCTATATGATATTGTTATCTGGAGGATTGATATGCTGTGCATGGAAAGTTTTTTAAACATCTGAAGTTGCTTTGCCGATGTGTTGTGGATCACATTACTGTGATTCACTGCTCCCTGTCAACTGGGTTATTTGCCAAATAAGATACCCGCAGAACATCCAAAACCTTTTTTTCTTTCAACTTTTTCCCTGCTTTCTTCTTTTTTCACTTTCATTTGGAGCAAGTTGTCTAGCCACCTCATACAAACTCAAGTTTGTAAGACCTGGCTGCTTATTTTGTTAGTTTCCATTCACCCTGATTTGGAGGAAACTAATTGACTTGGCAAGGATCAAGAGCCATAGTGACTGGGATTTATTTTGTTCTTATTCTTTTCCTCCTTCCTGCATGATTTTTTTCCTTGTTTCTAAATGGTACGAGTCCGCAGATATTCTGTTTTCTTTTGTTCTTTCTTTGTTTCTTTTTTAAACCATTATGCATCAACTCCTTTTTTCCCAGAAAATTGGTTGCACTTTTTTGGTTCGGTTTCATAATTTTAGAATAAAAACTTCAATGAATTTGTCCAACAAGTGTAGATGTCCAATTGTCAGAAGGTTATGTAGCTGCATAGTTGTTTGATTGTGAGTTCTGATGTGCAGTGTGAGATTGCCACTTTTGTACCTTAAAGTTAGAGTGGCTATCACCGTCTCAGTGGTTTGTTATGGTTTGATGGTGGAAAGTTGTTGATGTTGCCAGTATAGATAGAAATTTGAGAAGGTACAAGCAGCATGCCATTTTTTTTTTTCCTTTCCAAGGATGCTCTAATCCAAGTCCAATGGGGGATGATGGTTGCAGTATGCCAATTGAGCTATTGCTTGTTGTCACAAATATGCCAGTTTCTCAGTGCTGGTTAACTCACAATTATAAAATGCATAGATAAATTGTTTGCTTGGAAACTATTGGCATGCAAAACTAAGCGCATGCCAAAACCAGGGATATGCCTAACATTTTATAGCAGTTTGATAATTGTCATCATCATTATTGGCCTGTCATAGTGCATAGAGCTCCCTGCATTGCAAGCATCTGGGAAAAAAAATAGATGTACGCATCACTATATATATATATTTTTGGTTATTGTCATCAGCTGCTATTGCTATAAATTTTACTAATATTGTTGTTATTAATATCCCTGCTGTTATTGTGCATGCTGCACATACACATGGTGAGCCGGGTTGTCTTTTTAGGCTCAGCTATCTATGAAAGCTGAGGTCACAGTACTATATTCCTGCTACATTTTAGTGTTAAATACATGCAGGCATTCACGGAATTGGAGTATATTAAATGTTCTTTAGGAATTCAAAAAAAAAAAGTGAAGCTTGAACCTTTTTCCTTTGGGTAAAAATGGAATTTGGGACCATCTCCATTTTGCTCAGGTCTTAGCTCTCTATGCTGTCGCCTTGCCTTATTAAAGAAAAGATATTATTGAGCACAAATGAACACTCAATCTCTTAGGGCCCAGGGCTCCTGATTTCTCTCATGCTAGGCTTGGACTGGCAATATCAGGCCAGAGGTTGACCTGTGCGGGGCTTAATTAGCTGCATAGATGATTACTGCTTCTTTATCAGTTTGTGGTGTTGACTGGCCAATGATGAGCTGCATGGGGAAATATCTTCCCTCTAAGTCAAAAATTTGAAATTTTGATTTGTTTTTCTTTTGTAAAGAGAATTAAGAAACAACACCTTTCACGGCTCAATTCCAAAAGCTGTTCTTGTTCTTAAATGAGGATTGTAGGATGAGGGGCTGGGTTAACAAAACAATGTTATAATATTACATTTTACTATGTTTGCCCCCAGCATCAGGCCTTGAACCTTCAGATATTCCATCCCAAATATCCTCAGCTTCCTTCTAATTCTCTAGCTTTGAACTTTTCAGGATTCAAACATGCTTTATTTTTTTTTTTACCATTATCAGTTTTGATAACCCCTCATATCAGTTTGAGGTTTTTAATCACTCAAAACTATGGTTCAAAATTTTTCAAAACCCTTCTATATAGCATGATATTCATATATATATGGAGTTATCCAGTTTATAAGATATGTATTCAATTATGCCTCATCTTTTTGTTATTGTGGATGTGAATGATGCTTATAGCTGGCTAGAGGATTTGAGATGGTGGTATTCTATATCTGGGTTACCAGCGTGGTTCATGAGCATTAGTTCATGTGTTTTGACAAGCCATTCCAGATGAAGTTGTTGAGCAGAAGATGCCGAATGTGCTGCTAGTTCTATTTGTTTTATTATTTGAATTGTGTATGTTTCTGGAGTTAAAAAGCCCCTGCATCAGAATGGGCCTGGGGGTTGATGTGTTTATAAATGAGTGTAAGATGTTTTTTATAGTTTTGGTACTCTATCAGCCATCCTGCAGAGTTTCTTGCAAAATATTCTTCCTGGGTTGCTGCCTTTTTGGTGGGTAAGAGAAAAATCACTAGACTTGCATTATTTTTTTGTACTTGAATCCATAATGATGTCTTCTAGTATTTTGATTTTCTGTGTGTTTGTTTATGCATTTTACTTTGATTGCTAATATGTTTTTCATCAAAATTTTGGCAATATGCCAAGTTTCACAAGATATCTGGTTTCCATAATAGCGCTGTGAAGCTGGTTGGTTTGTCAGTCTTCCTCTCTCATCATGTGCTGGTTAATGGTGGTTTTAGCACACTTTATAAAAGCTGTTATTTTGTGTTATAGGCTCCGGAGCTCATTGTGGCTTCAGTTTAAGCCCCATCACATTGCCGCTGGTGCTGCCTATCTAGCTGCCAAGCTTCTAAATTTTGATCTTGCTTTTTACCAGAATATCTGGCAGGAGTTTGAAACAACACCAGCTATTCTCCAAGGTAGGTAAACATAACATTTATCGGTTATATTGAATCATTGCACTGGCTTAATCTTTTGCAGTCAAGTTCAGTTACCAGATAAATTGCATAAAACTGGCAATTCTCTGAATCTTTAGATATGCCGATCAAATCTACATGGTTTACTTTGTCGTGAACTAAGGACTGGTCCTTTCATTTCTGGATCAGAAACTTACATGAAGTTTATGACATTTTGAGAATGTCTTGGTGGACAAAAATCAGTAAATTGCTCAGGTAGACAAACACCTTTTTTTCTTAAAAAAAATGATAAAATTAAATTGAATTTGCAATAGAGGAGGAAAATTGGGGATCCGGCTTTAACCATTTTAACTTGCCATGTTTCTATCATGCGTCCCAGTGCATACGCACTTTTGTGTTTTTCTCTTTGTGCTTCTGTAGTGAAATTTGTGCTTTGCAGTTGATGAGCTTTTGTTAAATTAACTTCATGCTAAATATTTTTATCAGACTTCACATAGGTTCTTGTTGCTAATTCATCTGTATGTGACTTTATAATGCAGATGTATCGCAGCAGCTGATGGAGCTTTTCCAGTAAAATAGCATAATTGCTATAGCATGGTTCACCCATGAGGGTGATGCGCTTTGGGTGTTGTGAGTATAAGCCAGGTCAGAATGTGTTCAACATGGTAACAGAGATCATCAGTACTGTTTATTGTGTGAGAATGTAGTGCAAGAGAGATGAAAGGAAATGCTCATCACAAAAAGTTGCACTTGAAGTACAGGTCAAATGGATCTGCTGTTCGACTTGCATGTGCTTGCTGCAAGAGAGTCGGTAGATCTATAGTGCAAAATGTAAGTACTTGCTGCAAAATTGAACGACAAATTAGCTGAAAGCCTAACCTTGGAGCGGTGTCCATTTTCAATTTAATTTATGCCTGAGGTTTCAATAGACATGTGACAAAGCACTACCCTATTTGTTTCCTTTCCTAGGTTGTTATGCATGATGCCCATCCAAGATTGGAGTTGGTAATGCAAAATGATAGTCTGTTATGAATCTTGGAAAATGTCGGATGATTTACCTTTATTACAACACCCAAGCTTGCCTGTCGATTGCTTTGCAAATACGAGACATGCTTATGATATTGGAGATGATTGTTGCAGCGATACAGTGATTATAAATTCTTGCTGATTTTTCTGTGGCAAAAAAAAGTAATAGGTTGAATATAAGGGTGATGCTCCTAAAATTCAGGGAAAAATACAAGATTTCCTGTGATCGAAAAGGGAGAATTTTTCCCATCGTATTGGATGTGGGATATATCCCTCTGCCTGTTTGTGTTATACTCTGCTGTCGTCCGGGTAACATTGATTTATGCCTCATAAAATTTTTTGTTAGGAAAACTAATTAGAAAATTCAGTTGGAAAAGCTATCAATGCTGTCAATCTTTATAGTCAGGAAATTTTGCAGGAAAATCTTGTCCCTCGAAGAAGACAGGGTATAAGAAAGGGTGAACTTGGTATGATTTTGACGCAGATGAATGAAGCAACTTTTCTTCTTTAAATTCAATAAAAATGGAAAGGGATTAAAAGGAGGTGGAGGTGGAGGTGGGGGGTTGTTGTAAAGGAGGGGAGAGGAAGAAATGGATTCATGGGGGTCGGGCAGTACTTTCCTGTGGCAACGACAGTACAAATCTAGCAAGGAAATAGATTTATAGGGTATGTGGTGAAAGATTGAGCCTGCATGACAACTTAAAGTGGCTGCCACTCTGCTATAATGTAGAGAGAGTGCTCCTCCACATTACGATCCATAGGTTCCAAAGGGAATAATTCTATTCACATGCTAGTTTGAATGCATTTGCTAGTAATTATCATTGTAATTTCTTTTTAATAGTTACATTTTAATAGTCCTCAAATCCACTTTGACAAGGAAAAATAAATTGGATTGTGAGAGCCAAAGGCTAATTAATTATCTAACATATAGGTTTACAAGTTTTGTTTGGAAGTTATTTGAATTTTTAGGACATTATTATAACCATTTTTTTTATAAATCAAAATTAAATTAACACCCAGAAAAATCTTTAAGAGTATTCACTTGGGAAAAGCATGTATCGACCATATTAATCTGCTTTTATGTTTGTTTTTGCAATGAAAAAAATATTAAATTAATATTTTTAAATTTTGTTCAATGATTTTAATACGATTATATTAAAATAAATAAATAAATAAATAATATTTTATTATATCTTATTTTACAAATGCACTTACAAAAATGTACTCACTGCATTACCGAACCCATACGAAGATATTCTAACCAAAACAACTAATCTACTGTACACCCGAGCCAAGCGTCTGATGCAATTTAACTAAACCATATTAAATTGTTGGAGAAAAAAGGCCTAATTAAATCATTTTAAAGAATATAAAAATCGAAGGTCAAGAGACTGCTGTCAGCTGAAAAGCTGGGCACGTGTCATCAGAGACCCAAAAGGTCGCCTATTTTTAACCATAATGGTAGGTCCCAAACACATTCTCCCAGCAAGAAACAATCATTCGGTGCATCACAGTGAATGGCAGTGTCATATTCATATACGATCTCTATCTACTCCATAGTTCATTCCTCTTTCATAGCAAAGCAAGAAAACCGTAAGGAAAAAAAAAAAAATGAGTGAAGGGAGAGAAATTCAATTTCACAAAGATAAAAAGAAACGCCAGCGAAACAGAAACGCCACCATCCACCGGTACCACCAGAGAGGAGAAAGAGAAGAAAGACAGGGAAAGGCCACTCGCGATTCTATGCCATGGTCATCTCTCTCTCTCTCTATATATATATATATAAACCACGCGCGCGATTTCTCTTTAAAAGCAAAATTCTGGAGTTTAAATTCTCCATGATTTCTGTCTATTGATTATCAAATGCCGTACGGGATCAAAACTCTTCATAAACACGACAGTAACTTCCAATTAGGGTTTATACTTATGAGGGTTTAGTTTTAGTGTTTGATTTCCTAGGGAGTTAGAGAGATTAATAAATAAATAATGTAATCGAATCAATTACAAAATGGAATGGAGACTGCGAGGCTATTGTGGTCTTGGATTCCAAACTCAGAGGACGGAGAGCTTGATAATGTTAGCCTGTTCAGCAGCGGCAATGGAAACAGCGTTGTGTCTTGACTATGAAGTTATTGAGAATGAAGCTTACAGAGAAAAGCAGGTTTTTTCTTTCTGATTTTAATTACTGAAAATTAATCCATCATCATTGTCTCCATTATTTTGTAAATTAAAAAAAATATCTTTAGTCAATAAATTTTTTCAAAATATTAAAATTTCTCTCATGTAAATTATATCCACAAACCCGCAAACATTAACCCACTTTTTTCTCTCTCTCTTTACCTTCAATTTCTAAACAAAATCTCTCTACAAAATTCTAAAATACTCATCAAAGTTTAGGTGCTTTGTAGTTGAATTTTGTATCTTGGTGTCTGCTCGTGTCAACAATTGTGAAATTGCGGTTGTTCTCGAGACATTAGGGTATATATGTCATTTCACTTGTTTTATACTGGACTTCAATAATTAAGTTAGTGGGTTTAGTGGTGGTTTAATTAGTGTTATTTCTATAGAATATTGTTTATTTTACTCTATTTAACCAAAAAAAGCATAAAATCAAATGAAACCCCTATCGTTTTCTTGAAAACCTAATATATCTTCTATTTAAAAATTAGAGTTGCTATTCATATAATGAGTAATTTTGTGTTATTTTACTGTAACATATTTAATTAGTGTTTGACTGTATAGGAAATAAAATGCCCAATATTATTGTGTATCATGGAATTGCTTCATAACTCATGAGCAATTGCTTCTCTGAGTATATGTTTTATATAAACTTGCTGTTCATTTACCAGCAAGTTTACGACGTTGACTTGCATATAAGAAATGACAGGGATAATAAAATAGTTGATGATGCTTGATGTAGATAGATATTGAATATTATAGTTTTGAAATTCAACTTGGTCTGATGGGTTGACTTGGAACTCGGCCAATCTAAGATTAGAACTGGATCGGGTTGAAAAAAAATAAAAGAAGAAAAAACTCGACGTGACTTGGCTGATCCCGCGGGTTAATTCGGCAAGACCAAGTCAAAAACCGGTTACAAATCTATTAACTTTTTTTTTTTGTTAAAATGACATTGTTTTGATTTTTTTTAAAAATAAAATTTGACTCAGCCAACCTGGTGACCGGGTCAATACCTAGAACTTGAACCTTGAACTAGGCCAGGTTTTAAAACTGTGTTGAATATATATAAAGTCAAAAGAGAAGAAGAAATCCATATTTATATGGATCCTGTTGACGTTGATCCTAACTCCACTACAAATGAAAACGCACAAGTGCTATGCAAAAAAACCAAATGCAAGAATAAAATATTTTCTAGACAAAAATGGTAATAAAGTTATATTGATTATTGGGGAAGAATGCTTGAATTTAGGTAAATATAGTGATGGTGAGGGTGCAACTACGACTGTGGGTATTGGTAGGGATGGCAAAAATCATGGCATAGATTTTAATGTTGGTGCTTGTAGTTGTAGTGAAGATGTGGATGCTGGTGTGGGTAGTTCAAATTATAATATGGAAAGTGAAGAGGATGGTACTGAATGTAAAAAAAATTACGAGAATGATAATTCTAATGAAGATGATGAGGATTATATTTCATCTTCAGAAGAAGAAGGATTTGAGTTCTCGAATATAAACAAAGATGAATAGATCGATAGTTTACAAGGAGATTTTGTTTTGGTCAAATATTAAATGGTGTAACAGACAGAAAATTAATAGAAGTTTAAGTAGTGATAAAGATGACCTTGATGTTGAAGTTGAAGGTAATGAAATTTTTTTTATAGTAGTGATGAAGGTGAGGAGGATTAAAGTGACATGAAAGGAAAGAAACAGAAAAGGAAGATTGTTGATC